AGGGGATGAAAGGGAAAAGACCCCTCTTTCAGGGCTCTCTACAAAAATTATGGTGAGAGATGATGTCTGATGGACCATGGTATGAGCAGTCAAGGTGGTCAGAAGCTGTTAGAATATGGATCTATTTTAAAAGTAGAGTCAAGAAGATTTTCTAAAATATAGGATATATGATAAGAGGGAAAAAGAGAGTCAAAGTTGACTCCAGACATTTTGAGATAAGGAACTAGAAGAAAGGAGTTTCCTTTTGCTGAGATGGAGATGATGTGGAGGAGCAAATTTCTGTGGGAAGATGATGAGTTTAATTTTAGACATGTATGTTTGAGATGTCTGTTAGGTATCCAGGTGAAGATGCTGTGTAGACAGTGGGGCATACAAATGTAGAGGGAGAGGAGAGGTCTAGACCAAAGATATATATTTGGGATTTGTCAGAATATAGTTGCCATTTTAAAGCCGCAAAGGCAGATGATCAGAGATTAGATTAGATGAGTGAGTGTAGACAGAGAAGAGAAGAGCCATGAGCGATCCCATCATTGAGAACTTGTTAAAAAAGTGAAGGAACCAGCAGAGGAGGCTGGCAAGGAGGGGTAATGAGGTACCAGGCAAAGTGGGAGATTGTTTTGTCTTGGAAGGCAAAGGAAAGAAATGTTTCAAAGAGAAGAGTTAAATGCAACTAGTAGGACAAGTGAGATGAAGACTCAAAATTGACCATTGGATTGGAATCTAGTACTCAGAATGCAGTGTGACGGGAATAAATGTCAGAACAGGGAATGGTTAGACAATAGCTAATTGAATTGAAGATGTTAAATTCATTAGAAAGAGAAATATGTAACTGTTCTTTTAAGGCTGACATTATCTTGACATTATCATTTTACCCACCTCTCAGTACACTCTCTTCATAGTTTCGTTTATAATTCCTTCCCAGGATACGTTAAAATCATTCTTGTTCCTGCAAACAACTCAAGCTTCTTAGTGTTTTGACACTCTAAAATCCTGAGAATTTCTACTTGTACCTACGCTACACGAGGTAACTACTCCCATGTTTACTTACAACTACTTCATCTCTGAAATTTTAACTTTAGACCATTCCATTCCAATCAATTCTCTTACTTTGTGGTGTCTACTACACCTCAACCCATCAGGTTCTTGATTCATCATGAATCGTGGTCACTGAGTCTATTTTTCCACTTTTCATCCTTTCAGTTCCCACAGAAATGTACATTTTCAAAATAGGTTAAGTAATAGATTAAAATGAAGTTAAATCAGACTCCACTCATACTTTCTACATTTCTCCTTTAAAGAGATTTGCTGCTGGGTGAAACATCCTGGCTTTTTACCCCTTAGTGTACCCTTATACCTATCATAAAGGACATATGTTTCAACAAAAAAGACAATGGCTCTACTTTTACTAATGTGGAACCCTTTATCTGAAGCTAGGACCCAACACCCACTGGAGATTCTTATTTGTTTGACTGTAGTAAAACCTAGGCTCCCTTATGTTTTAAAGGCTCACCAAGTAGTTCTAAGTGTGGTCAAGGTCTGAAACATCTCATCTAAAGACCATCAGGTTCTATGATTTCAGTGTTAAAGGTGTTTTTCTCCCAACACCCATTGTACTCCAAATGTTTTGATTAGGTCACTCATGTTCATTCCATTGACCCTACATGTAATAATCTTGGGAAGGGGACCGTGACCGAATCCTGGCCAGTGACAACAAGAGAAACTATCCTGGGGGGCTTCTAAAGAGTTCCCCTCACTTCTTAAAGCAGACAGTCCTTCTCTTTTGACTGGATATGTCCAGTTGAGATATGATGTCTGAATTTGCTACACTCTCTTCACCCAGACCAAGGATGATGCCAATGCACAGAAGAAGGAAGAACCAAGAGAATATAGGAGAACATCTGGACATCCCATGATGAACCCAGAGCTGGCCCTTCCTCTTGACTACTTGTTATGCAATAACACATTTCTGCGGGCTTAAGCCAATTTGAGATACATTTTTTTTCATGTGGTTGTATCCTAAGCAATTCAATCGTGTAAGTTAATATTTTCCTCTTTACAACCCCATGCACTATGCATCTAGCTAGGAGTTTCACAATCTGTGGAAATTACTGAGTCATCCTCTGAGAGCAGGAGCCCCAGTGGATTCTAACGGTTTCCCAATAGTATTGAGTGACTTCAAAATAAAAAAATGATGCGGTAGACAGAGTGGTTTCCAAAAGAGCCTCAGCTTTCTTTCAGTCATCTTGAGGCCACATTCAAGACACATCTTATTCTTCAGACAAAACCCCTTTGACACAGCAATGTGTGCAGTGGATTTTACTTCAAATTCCATGGGTTATAAATTTCATCAAACACCGTAATTGAAACTTCATAAGTATCCCCTTAAACATCTCTGTTTTTTCCCCCAAATTCCTCCCAGGGCAACAGCAGTGCCTCACATCCTCTCTCCACCCTCCCTCCCTTCCATCCCTCCTCCCATACAACCTCTACCATCTCCTGCCTTTTCCAAAGCAATGCAGTCTGATGTATGGCCTACACAGCCCCTCAGCTCCACACACCACACCCATAACCCTCTGTCAAGCTCAAATGTTCTCTATTTTTCTTCCCTTTCACCACATGACTTCACTCTCCTCCCAGATAATTCATTAAACAAAATAGATCACCTCCTAGAGACAAGTACTGCTGGAACATAATTTTATTTATTTTTTAAACCACATCCATATACTTTTTTTCTGAGCAACTATTTCCTGTTCTCTGTACACTGACAGTTCTCTTGCAGGGAATGAATGAGGAGAAAATCAAGCAATTATTGACTGGTGAACACGGACAATACTTATTTATAACTCCAGGATGCCCTCTTCTTCTCCCTCTCCTACAGGACTTGGAAATCCTGAGGTCTCTTGACATACAGTATTCTTCTTCAGCCTGATTACATAAACTGGGGAAAGTTTGAATCCCCACCAACTCCATTAACCCAGCTTGGTCAAGCACAAGCCCCAGTGGACCAGCCAGTTCCTCCAGTGAGTCTTGGGACATTAGAGGATTCTATCTGGTCATTGGATTAACAGGGCAATGTCCAGCCTGGGCCCTCCGTGATACATAGTCTATTCTACAAGTCAGAGCCTGCCCTAATGTTCCCAAAGGATCAGCACACCGAGACTCAGGCCCCTTTTGAACTTCCCTCCAAGTGTCTGGGTCTGGTGAAGGCAGAAGTCGCTAAGTGTCCCATTCTTTCCCTCCTGCTTCCGGTCTCCACAAGATGCCTTTCCTTCTCACAACCCTTGCAACTTCTCGGAGTCCTAGCAGTCCTTGCTTGTTCTTTATCTGCACAAGTGTCACCAGCTGTTATGGAGTGGGTGACTTTAGTCCCTGGTCCCACAGTCCTACTGTTTGTAATGAAACATTCCAGACTGGAGACAAACTAGAAGGTGTAACTCCTGATCGAGGTCCTGGCTTGCTGAAGGAGACCTAAGTGGTCTTGAAATTGGTTCTCCTGGTATCTGCCTAAACCCAGTCTCCTCCAGTCCAAGCCCACACTGGAGGCAAATCCACACACAGGTCTTGTTACCTACAGGTAGCCAGGGCCAACTCCCTGCTTATTTCCTCCTAAATACCCAAAGGGCACAGGAATCTGAACTTTTATAAAAGCTTAGAGGTGGGTTGAATGTGGCTATTTTGTAGACTGGTATTTTGGAAGTCCGTTTTTTTTTTTTTTTTTTTTT